CATGCTTAAGAATTGCTTTTCAACAATGCATTATTATTTGTATACCAAGCGAATTAACTTTGTTTTTATTTTAAAATACTATATGAAAATTTTGTTTAATATTATTCAAAAATATTAACTAATTAGAATGTTATTTGCCCTTTCATTTAATATAAATGAAAATATGATAATCCTAATATTGTGACATTTTATTATATTTTTCAACAACAATTTGTCTACGCATAAAATATATTTTGAATAGTCCAGAAAATATTGAGATTCATTTTAAACACAAATATCTCTTTATACAACTGCTACGATACTATTACTATTGCTTAACAGAATAAAAAGTCTTTTCGATAATAGCAAACCAATAATAAACTTTCAGTTCCATAAAGTTAATGAATTTGTGTTAATTCAATTTCACATATTGTTCACATATGTGTGATATTGCAAGTGCGTTTAATATTCCTACTAGATTTATTAAAATAAATATATTATTACATATTTAAAATTGAAAATTGAATTCATTATGTCATTAAGTCAATTATTTTTTTATTTAATATTTTGTGCAATTTTGAAGAAATCGTTAGAAAATGAATTTATTGTATATGAAATAATTTATGAAATACAAAATTTATTTTCAGAAATATAATTATATTGAATTTTATATGTAGTAATAGATAAGTAGAGAAAGTACAAACTATTTAATTACTACATAAACCAGAAGATACAGAAGTATATTTGTAAAAGTAAAGTATATCAACACAATGTCTTTTACAATTATTAATTGATACAATATTTAATTAGATGTATCGAGCTGTTGTAATTCTGAATTAGCTCTTTATAGGTATTTATAGCTCGAACTCGCATTATGTCAATAATTAACTTATTTCATTGTCTTTTGTTACATGATATTACAATGATTATGAATTTTTCTTTTCATGTATGTATAATAATGATGCCTATTCGTATCAACAATTAGTACTCAATCCTTCCTTTATTATGATCCACGAGAAGGATCCTTAAAAATGTTTTTACTTAAAATTTTCTTATTATTACCTTCATTTACCTATTTGCATGTTCAAGTAATATTGATTTATGTTTTGACACAAGATTTGTGTTAATAATATAATTAACTGCGTATTATATTTACTATATTTTAAGAGCTTTTTATTTTTAATTTTATTATTTTATTTTAAATAATAAAAATGATATTATTTTTTAAATATATTATCTTAATAATAATATATTTAGTTTAAAATATTTTGGTCGTTGTTAATTTTTTAAATTAAATTGCTTATTGTAAATGATGTATTATGAAATATCAATGATTTTATAATTAGTAGAACTTATATTGGACATTCGTAAGTTTCCTTATAAAGTCATAATTACTTCGAGTTATTCATCTTATGTTTAGAAGTAAATTTTGTTCAGTAACAGAATCCTGACAGCAATTGTCTCCTTTGCTTTATCACTTTTTAATTCTTATAACTTTTTCGTCTATCGTTATTTTTCTTTTTCACTAGTAGCTTTCATTTTGGCTACCATTGTACTTATAGTGAAAGGTTAAGCTTTGTTTTTCTTAAGTTTTTACTGCTCGTGGATAAATAATAATCCATCCCATCAGACGTTCATTGCAGCGTTAACTTGTCTACGAAACTTATTTGTTCGATGTGAGTAACCTTATTGTTGGATGTGAGTAACCTTATGTACTATTTTAGAATAATACTTTGGTATAATACATTTACGTCCAACGGCAATTTCTTGTAGCTTTGAAGAAGACTGATAATTTTTTGTTTTCGTAAATAAAGTACACCAGAGATATTTAAAATAAATTAACGTCGAATCAACTGCAAGTTTAAGAGTGTTACAGGCAAGTATAAATTTAATTATCGATTAATCAAGTGACGATTATTGAAAACGAACAATTAATTAATCGTTTCATTTATTCCACAATCAAACGGTGATTTATAAGTGCGATTAATAACTATGATCGTATGGACTTATACATTTTCATTAGATAAATGTGAAATTATTTGTTACAAGTGGACAAAAATGTGAGAATTAGCTGTGAAACTTATTTCGAGACATGGCGTAAAAGTTTGCATTTAATTTATTTATAATATATATTTAACTTAAATTATCCTGTTGGATTGATATTTAAAGAAAGTAGGGAGCTGCTTGTCAGAGTATGTTTAAGAATGGTCTCGGGCCTTTTCTTCCGTAATACATTATAGAACGGACGAAGTGTTTTTCGGAAAGAAGTGCGGTTGTGCTTTATAAATATTTATAATAGTGCACAGCTGGCCGAAAGTTCTTAGTGGCAGCACATAAGTAGCAAAGGTCAAGTGGTTTTTGCTCACTTTGGAGGTCCCTAATGTATGTAATTATATGTAGTAAAAAGTGAGTTCGAGGATTCGAAGAGGCGCTATGCAGGAGAGCATGTCGATCGAGTGACCGAGGATCATCCGCTGTGCGATGCTTCCTACTCTCGCTTCCCCTCATCGTCGCCCCTTTTCTGATCAACGTCCGTTCCTCCTCCCTCTTCCTCTGCGTCGTCATCCTCATCCCTTCTCACGCGTTTGCTTCTAATGAGCGGGCGGTGCCTTTTGTCTATCATGCCACTTTTTGATACTTTTATACCTGAAAGACTTTTTGGCTGCTGCTCGTCAATTTTATATCTATCATATTGTCGTGAAACGCTTCTTTTTTGCTCATTCGACCTAAATTGGAAGATCCGAGAGCTTGGTTGAAAGTTTTGAAAACTTTGCGCTTCAGTCAAACTTTTTATCCGCTTTATTCGTTCATTCGCCGCGATTTTCCATACCCTTTGTTACCACCTTGCATTAGCATGAGAGCTATTATGATTCTCTTAGGACAGCGACATTAATTGTCCGTCAGTAGTGTAACTTCGCACCTTATGATTTTGCAATTTCGAAAATCGTTTTTCAGGCATTCGTAAATTCATTATGACGAGGTAAATGAAAATGATAATTCATTTTTTGAAAAGTTCGAAAATACTCCTAGCAATTTGGTATTCCTTATTAACGAAATAATTTTAATTCTAATATGTTTATGATTAATTGTTACTACTGCCAACAGGCAAACTTGCACAAATATATTTATTTTATTTTTATTATTAATTATAAGCTTTAAAGAAATATTGCTGTTTTATAGTTACGGCATGCAGTTCTAAGCATTCGAGACAGGCCATAAGTAACATTAAACTAAAAAGTATTGAAAGTGACACGTAACAAAGTGAAATGTCTAAATATTTAATTGCTTTCCATTCTACTTCGGCAATTACAATCGACAAAAAAGAAATACCGGTACACTGTGTTGATACACTGAATTTTTGTAAAATATAGATTAATTAAAACCTGCACTCGTGTCTTATGTCTTAAAAAAATAATTGACGATTCAAATGAAAAATGTAATTTTAATATTTAAAATATTCCTGATAATTTTATGGTCTTTTAAAATATTTTTATTTCATTAAAAATTAAGACAATCATTAAAACTGCTTTTCATTTGAACTAAGTTTTATTTTTATTTATTTTATTTATCTGTTTTATTTTTATTCATTCTTAGTTTTTTGTTCAATGCAAAATTTTTCTTTCTCAACAAATATATTATTTATTTAATAATGAATTTTATTTATTCCAACTCTTATAAATTTTAATAAGTAATGTCACATTATTAGTAAACGCATATGTTGTTTGTTTAGTATAAAGTATCACTTTTCTCGTATAAAGAAGTTTAAAATGAGATTTTAACTATCAAAATGTAGCGTGTAATAATGATCTAATAAAATGGAAAAAATTAATTGTAGTACAATCATTTGAATGAACACTTGAATATTAAAATTACAATTTGCTTAACCTGAAATTAATTTTAAATAAAAATTATATTTAAATGTACGTATTATGAATCATTTAGTTCGTTTTTTAATTAAACATGATGAAGTTTTAGATTCTTTTCAATGTAATTTTATAGAACAATCAGGAGCGTAAAAATTATTTGTATTTGCTAAACATATATTATAATGTTGCGATGCATGATAGTAACCTGCTTAAACATTACAATACAACATTTCATTCACGTGGAGAAGTGCAATACAAAAAATTAAAAATATATTTTTTGTGGAAAAATAATTCAAAACTTTGCCAAGAGAATTACGAAGGAAGCAGGTGTGCTACAATATTTGGATAATTAATACTGGTTTGGAATTAATGAAAAAGCATAAAATAATGTTTAAAAAAAAATAAAATAAAATAAAATACGCACACGAACACACACCGCATATACGAATTGGAGGGTACGAAAAATGAGGTACATGTGGGATTGATAAAAGCTAATGAAGCAAATTATTAATAAAGTGGATAGAATTGCTTTTTTTATTTAACGAGTGCAAATGTGACAAATGTGATACTTTAGGATTAATGGCCACGAGTCGCAAATACATCAAGCATACGTAACGAATAGGAAAAATAATGGTTGAGAAGGATATTGTATCAGGAGAAGAAGGGAGATGAGGCTGCTGAGGGTAAGAAGCGGAGTCTCACGAGCGCTCACTCTTCGGTAGTCCTAAGTCTCTCACTCGACACTTTAAATTCGAAATAATCAATGTGTGCGTGTGACGGTGGAACAAGTGGGGAAACGTACATGGGGATTTAAGGGGAAAGCAGAAGACGTTCTTAAGTGTATTACGAGTGAACCGCCTAAATTTGCGTTCGTGTGACAGAGGAGCGGTCAGGGAAATGAGGGACGATTGCGGAAAGGTCGTTTGATCGGGCGGGGTTTGCGAGGAGGTGCTCGCTCAATGAACTGCCCCCTGCCGGGGATTGCCGGAGCGGCGGTGGCGGTGGTGGCTGCGGCGGCCGTCGAAACCGCCGTCGATGAAGACGCCGCCGCGGCCGCCGCCGCCACCGCCGCCGCTGCTGCTGCCGCCGCCGCCACCGTCGTCGTCGCCCTTCCCTCCCTCGGGGCCGGCTGCTGCGCGTGCTTTTGCCCGCTCGACCGGACACCTGTAAGCACGCGGACACGGCTCGGGACGCTCGCGCGCGCGCTCCTTCCTGCCCGTGGCTCGCGCTCGCGACGATGAGGCGCGGCCACCGGAGTCCCTGCGCCCGCCCCTAGGACAACGACATGCCATTGCAACTATCGCACGAGACATGCCGCCGACCACGAGGAGCACCCTCGCCCTATCCTCGCTCCTGCTGCTGCTCCTGCTGCTCCTACTGCTGCTCCGGGAAGGCGCGTGCATCAAGTGGCTGTAAGTACGCGACCAACCAGATATTTAGTCCTGACCTCAGTATCGCGAGCTGTTTGCCGCGCGACCGGTCCCTGAGTTATCTCACACCTATCTTCGAAGACCTATCTTAAAACGCGGAGCCAGGTAGGCTGAATTCTAGTCATCAAGCATGGACGAATGACTAGGGCTCTGGCTTCTTCCACTTCCGTTCTCTTGCCGCAATCATTGGGCTTTCACTTCGCGTCACCTCGCAATATCCAATTTCTTTCTGCCAATTCATTTCGATATTGTAAAATCGTAATGTTTTTGTCTATAACTTGTTTCAAAGATTGTCCCTCCACCGGCCGAACGTTTTCCAGCTTACTTATATAATAGTCCACGCACTTCCTGTTATCATTCACCTTCATTAAATAATATGCAATTTACATTGGCAACAGCTAATTAGATTGTTGCTTTTATGTTTGCCCACTATGCAGTATATAACTTCCTTTATAGGGATGTAAATTAATAATCCATCTATTGTCTTATTTCTGAACAAAAATTAACCTAATATAGTTACAGAATTGTAAATTTGGATATTATATGTACATATTTACGTATATCATTAACAAATAAGAATCTTAATATTAAGAACTTATTATTTATATATATTTTCGGAGACAAGTAAAGTAGCTGTAGATTTTCTACAATGAAATTACACCGTATTTCTTATTAATACACTATAAACTATAAAATATTGTTTTGCTCATCAAAATAACCATAAGGATTATCGATATGAAAAATAAAGGTTGCTCATTAAAATCCTGCCGCTTATAACTATAAATTAATATTTTAATAAAATTTTCAATTGATTTTAAATGAATCGATAATCATGAAATCTTCGAACCATTTATTGAAATGTTTATTGCCCTTCGCTTATACTATAACAATGATATATCAGTATTGTATTTTATGAACATTAATATTTAATAAATGTGAATAAATTGTCGAGTAATGTATTTATATATTTCAAAAATATTGATCTTTCTTATGGATATGTAGCACTTGTCCCTTAATATATAATAAAGAATTTAGCGTACTACTTTTGAAAATTTGAATATGACTTGACGATGTAATGAAGCTTTATGCCAATAAAATAATCTATTTGAACGTGAACATTCATTTTAAAGATCATTGATAAAGTTTTGTTAGTAGCATCAACGGGTAAGCGGGTCGCGAAGTGATAAAACACCGTAGTAATCGTAGGAGCAAACATATGTAGGGAATCTTTGGAAAAGTGCGATTGTAGACTTAGTGGTGAAAGTTAGGCGTGAAAGCGTAAATCATCGATGAAAGACGTATCTTCGTCAAAATTGCGCCGATATCTCCGATATGCGTAACTGCATATTATTATGCAATGCAGCAAACTCGATCGTTTATTCGCTTCGGCGGCAAAGATTTCGAGGCCAGAATTAGATCGCGACTCCGTGGGAGTGGATAATCCTTGCCACCAATTATCGATCCTCGGGGATTGGTTTAGAGATCAGCTTGGGAGACGTCTTCATTTGGTCGCACGAGCCCTACGTGCTGTCCGACCCCTGGATAACTCACGGCCTATTCGAGCGATCGGGGAGGTCCGTTTGGTGATTAATGCGATCTTGTTAATGAGAGGCAAATACGCTCGGCGTATGGGGGCGGGGTCCGTGGCTTTCCGCGGATACATAGGGTATGATTACCTGCCGCTGCTACTTTTCTTTTAGGGACGCTGCTACCACCGTTCATATCCGAAATCCGAATCGCGAGTCCATGACCGTTCCGTAACGGGTTTCGCGTGCAAATCACCTAAGCTCGGGATGATTTAGTGCAACGGGCGCCGAGTCTCTATTCTCGATCCGGTACTGCGGCTATTTACATCGATTTAAAGTTAACCAGAATTCTCGGGTCTAAGAATTTATTTTTCATTAAAAAATTTTACTCCGCGGCATTTCTTGGAGATAGATGGCTTTATACTAGGAAATGAATTAATTTACTCGTCTCGGCAATTTGGCCAGATCTTTCTAATTCTATGATCTGCAAAGTCAGCTTCCGTCGTACCTCGCATATACTTGGAAATAATTTGTTATTGTAATTATAGGCGAACGCTACCTATATATTTTTGCGGAACATTTACTCCAAAATATTACCTTGCAAAATTGGATCTATTTTTGCTTTCTCTACATTTTTCTAAAGGTAATCGAGCCTAATGAGCTAAATCCAACCAATTATTTAACTTATTTTTATTGAAATTCTAGTTTAGCAGCGTTCAATTAAATAAGTTATATATTGCATTATTTATAAAGATTAGTATATAAAAAGTTCTCATAATAATATCGATGCTGGTTTTTGCCTTTAAAAATTTTTGTAACAAGCTACAACCTACAAGCTATTTTTAATTTTTCTCAAAAACTTATAAGAACTAATTTTCTTTGCACGTGTCTGTAATAGAACAAGAATAATTCAGTTCAATTATTGACTTACTACGAAATTGCAAAAGCATTACGAGATCGCAACGTAATATTAACAGTACACGATTCAAGAATATTCAATTTCATTTGTAAAATAATTAAAATCCATGCTATAAGTGATAATGAATAAAAATGAAATATATCAAATAAATTTCAAGTGCATCAAAGTGTAAATTTCAACACAAATTATGCAATTTTGAAAGCAATTTAATATAATTTTAATTATAATAAACTTGTAATATGTATTATGTGGGTGCGTAGTATTTTTGTGCTAATAGCAACATAATTGATTTACAGAAATCAATTAACTGGTATCTTGCATTTAATATTTTAATTTTTCGAACTCTTCAAATTTCATGGGATTGACTACTATGATGTTACAATTCAATATCTTACTCCTTCTTATTCGCTTTTTTACATTCATTTCTCTCCTTTTTGGCTCTCTCTCTCTCTCTCTCTCTCTCTCTGTCTTAATCCTAACTAACAACACTACTCTCAAGTTAATTTCGAAAATAGATAGAGAAACGTTCACTGTCAGGAACGTTAGTAGCCTACCGTTGCTTCCTCCTGTACCGGTTCCTCGGAATTAGCAATCCGTCCGCACGTCGAGTGCGGCCCGGGAGAGGAAAAGAGAACGAGAAAGAGGGGTAAAAAAGTGTAAAAAGCAAACGAAAATAAAGAAGATGAAAAATACGAGTCGCGAGAAGAGATCGCCACGTTGATACGGGTATGCCTGCACGTGTACGTGTGTGTATGCGCGCGCGCATGTTGGCTCGCGATGGGCCCAATTGTGCCGGAGGATTCGCGTGGAACCCAGTGCTAAAAAAAAGCGAGACAAGCAATAGGCATAGAGAGAGGGGGGAGAGGGGGAAGGGACGGGGGTCGGGAGAGAGGGAGGGAGGAAGAGAGCAATAGACGAAGAGAGGGAATAAGGCGCACGAAGAAGGGGAGGCGCGTGAGACAATAAGACCGGAAACAGGGGATGGCTAGGATGATGAATGGCGCTGGCCGATGGTGATTTTGCGTGTGCGCAAACCGGTAGGTTACAAAGAAGAGTGGCACAAGGTGCTCAAGGGAGCGGGAGGTGGGGTGGAGTGAGGTATAGTGGGGGGGGGCAGAAAGGAACAAGAGCTCGCGGACGCGCGCTCCAACGATATACCGGTCGGTGCGAAGGGTTGCACGGAAAACGAGATGATTAGGGGGTTCTGTACGGATTTTGATTTATTCTCGCCCCGATGCCGAGCACACGTATAATTCTTTATCTACTCTTGTCCATCTCTCTCTCTCTCTCTCTCTCTCTCTCTCTCACTCTCTGTATCTCTTTATTCATCTCTATCGCTTTGCTTTTTTCCTCGAGTGGCTGTGTGTAAATCGACCCTATAGAACAGGAGATCGCGAACTTCGATTTGGGATAAAGGCTTATACGTTCGACGTCATTTCTTCTCCCACTTTCAAGGGACTTATTCTCGGCTTATTGCCCCATGGCCTGATCATCGTTAAGAGCGATCAGCAGTTCCTGACGTTTTAGAATTTCGCAAGCGCACTTTACCACTTCATCTCTGCCGTGGAAACTTGAAATATATTGCAGTCCGACGTTTGACACTTACTTGTGGACATTGTAAATAGTCTCGGAAACTTTCCCGAGAATTCTTAGAGACTCTTGCCTAATTATCCAAAGTGAGAAAGTCTTATTAATGAAAGCAATCCCAAATTTTCAAAGATGGGGCTATGAGAAAAATTGGACTTAAATATTAGATCTTATCTTGTTACGTAAGTTAATTTATTATATTCAATTTCCATAGAAGCTAAAGATAGCTTATTAATTTAAAATAAGATAAAACTTTTTAATTTTGTTATATTATATCCATTACTCTCATTAGGGCTTAAAATCAATTATCTGCAAGTACACTATAAATTTTTAAAAAGTTTATTATTTGCTTTTTGCATTTTACTATGTTCCTGATTACTCGCAATGTTCCATGTTCCTCTCCTTGCTACATTTTTAATGCTGCCTCTTGCTTCTCTTTAAAAGGCCTGCTTGATAAACATATTTTGAAGTGAATCATGACAAGGCCAACGAATCCTAATTCATTATGGATATAATATAGACATTCTATTTTGTGGCCTCCTGTTCAGGTTCGCTTTTGAGAAAGATCCTTCTCAGCTTCAGCTAGATGATTATTAGGATGAGTACTATGGGGTCAGTTATAAACTGTTTTCGTAGGGTTTTGGAACTTTTTTCTTGCTCATAGGAAGTGATCATCTTTTAAAAAAAAATCAAGAATAATGACTTATCTAGAACGTATACTTTGAGGAGATAAATTTACGCTATAATTGACAATGTTAATGAATAATTATTCTAATATTTTGTAATAAGCGATATTAATATATATTATACATGAATTTAAGAAATACCTTTATTCCCGATATTAATCTTAACGGAAAATAAATAAGTGATTTTAAAATTTCGTATAAAATATATAACCTTAATTTTAACCATTGTGTCATTTTTTTATATTAAAATGTTGTTCATTGTTC